TGTTTGTTTGTTTGTTTGTTTGTTTGTTTATCTGTTCGTTTGTTTGTTCGTTCGTTCGTTCGTTTTGTTAAGCTTCTTAAAACTATTTTTATGTTTGCCTACTTGTAAAAAAAATATTGTTTTCTTGTTTCCAGTCTTTGCTTCTTCGATCGATGTCTTTTTCAATCATATTATTATTATTATTTATTATTATTATTTTATCTTGTTTACAAGTTAATTTTTCACCGGTTTTAGATTTTCGTTCATCTTCGATTCACCTTTACCTATTCAATTTTTGATTAACAATTCCAGCATTTCTAGTTTGCTTTTCGTATTTTAGTTAACGCTGAAAAACTATTTTTCGAAACCTAATCGCCGACGAGACACAAGATAAGCTAAAATATTCAATAGGATTTAAATCATGTAAATTATGTTCGCGTGTTAAAAATCCAAGCTCCAGGCGGTATCTTTATATTTACATAGCATAAAAATCATCTATAATAGCTCAAATATCCCCGCCATTAATTATCTTACCATAGACTCTTCAATCGTTCCTGGGTTGTTATTAAACCTTTACTTATTGTAAACTGACGTGACAGACGAACTGACAAAGACGAGTACAGAGAGATTAATGAAACCGAGTAGATTTGGCAATCAATTAATTATAAAAGCGAAGATCGTTGACGATTAGCTTTTCGCTCAAAACCTGGATTATTGCGCTATTTCGTAGTTTTTTCGATGCTCAAGTTTTTTTTGGGTTTACATACAGGATATGGAGCAGAATTGGAAGGAGCTCAGGCTCAAAAGGGGTTTTGTCTACTCATGAACGTGATGTTTAGTTATTAGATTTATATTTTAACTGAAATGTCCTGTTTTATCATTAAAACGACTACATATACTAATTTCAATAAAGTTAGTCAACAAAAACCTATTTAGAAAGCTGTGATCGCTGAGGATCATTGGAAATATTTCATATTCAACAAGTAAAGCTTTTGACAAAAACTGCAGCAGATGAGGATGCTCAAAGGAGGTGAACTCGTAACTGGTAGAAGATCTCAAGTCCATCAACAGTTATCAAGCGGTTGAAAATGTAGAATGTATCTACCCATAATCCTTGGCGGTCTCAGCTTCGTAGCTTTTCAGGTGACTAACTTTATTGAAATAAGTGTATGTTTTTCTTGTCACGAATCAATTAATTTATCAGTTTCAAAGAAGCGAGAATTAGACATRAAACCACATATCAATTTTTCAAACAATTTGTAATCATTCCATTAAGGTGGCWGCCTACTTTTGAACGTTCGAATTGAGCCCACGATGAGCGCGCGCTCAAAAACCGCTGAAAAATCTACAAGATTTTATTGAAGAACCATACGCGTTTTGAGCTTCAACAGGGCAAAACCCTCAAATTTTGCACGGGACTCCCTATTTTTTAATAAATCATTCGAAAAAACTCCTAAAAATCTAGGTTATATCAACATTTTAGAAAAAGTTTAAATCAGTAACACACGAAAAAATAGATCTTTGTAGGGATTTTTGTTCGACTTTATGAGATTTTTTAAGAGCACCGAAACTACAAAATATGACAAATCAATGTATTTTTTTGTATTTTTGTCGAAAATATCCATGTATTATTGTAGAATGATTGATTACCCTTCATTCGTGCAATCATAGAGTCTGCAAATAACTATTATCTTATGAATCTTAATTTTTTTCTAATCACTTCCGGTGGCGCAATTTTTACTCCAAAAGCTCGTGCGTAGGCTTCCATTAAATGCTGATTATCTCAAAAAGGAGCTCGGGACACCCTATTTTTCTTTCCAGATTTGGAATCAGCATCAAATTTCAATTCGGAAAATCGAAGTTTTAAAAACAGTTTAAATCAATTTCCAAAAGTAGGCAGTCACCTTAAGTGAATACATATGTTTTCCTTGTCACGAATCAATTAATTCATCAGTCTCAAAGAAGCGAGAATTRGACATAAAACCACATATCAATTTTTCAAACAATTTGTAATCATTCCATTAAATAAATAATTTCTATGTTTCATGGGGCTTATCTTGGTAGTTTATTGAACAAATGTCTTAAGTAGTTATGTTTAAATGTGCAATGCCTTTCATAAAACACGTTGCCAAAGTAATACTTTCTGATTGTTCGGATATTTACTAAGTCCTAACGTCTAATTCCTAAGGATAAATGATAACAGACTAGATACCTTTTTGGGGATAAAGAACAACAGACAAAATCGAGTTCTAGGGATAAGGGATAAATGGTCTAGTTTAGTGAGAACGAATGAACTTACTTTGGCATCTGATCAATAAAAACACGTGTAAGAATGGTGATGATAATCATGAAAACTATGGAAAAAGCATTGATTAAACATTGCAGGATTAAGAGGAAATTTTCTATTCTTTTCGCAGGATAGTAAACTATTGAAACAATTTATAATCAATTTTCCGCTATCAGAGTTTTAAATTCTGAAATATTCTAGATAATTTGTTGAGCTTGTGTGACTTGTGAACTAAGGTGGATCGGAACCATGGATGTCTAGAATGAGACAGCTGGATATAAGATATAAGATAAAAGATACTGAAGAGCAGAGAAAATATCAGGCTCACAGGCAGGGGAAATGGGAGGTGACCCACTATTCTCCACTGCACTCATGTCCTATTAACGCTTCAACAAACAAAAAATCAAAGAAAAAATTTACGGTGAAATATAAAATTTACTTTTGGACTAGGTACTCACCATTACCATACCCAAAAGGACAAAAACAAGAATACCACAAAAGTAATCTGTTAAAAAAACTTAGAGCCCAGGTGGGTGTTCTTTGTAGAAAGTATTCATGAGCTCACAACTGAACGAATGATTTGTAAAGAATGATCGACAAAACGGCGCCGGAGCAGAAAAATGATTTAGTTAACAGCTGCTTTTCAGATGACATTATCCGATATTGGCAAATGACAGTTGAACGTTTGATATCTAGAATTTTAATATTGGTAACTGGGCGCTGTCAGTAATCAACTGACAGCTCAACTTTGTTAAATTCCACTTTAGCACCTGTTAGTTACTGTTAGATCCTCATTTAATTTAACTATATAGCGCGCGCTGTTTGATCTCACTAGTTTTCTATATATTTCTGGAAGCTTGATATATTATATTTCATGAAGCTTGGTACAGAATGAAAGATGACAGATCAAAAAAAGACGGCATTAACTCAGTTTCACAAGTGGCATCTAACAGCGCGCTAGCTATTTAAAATTCTTGAGTGCGTTTAAACATCGCTATACTGAAGAAGATTCTTGATCAGGACAAAAAAACATAATTAACATAATTAACATTAACTATGGGGAAAAAAAAGTAAAAAATATTATTAAATATGAATCCTGACTGCAATTGCCCTATTTCACTATGACGTCACTACTTGTTTATGTGGGGGATGGAATCGCCAAATCCAATAGAAAATTCAACAAAATTTGCTCTTAGCGAAACAGTTTAATCTAAAATGGCCTGGTTTTCAGATATAATATTTGTAATATGTGCTAAAAAATATTCTGAGCGTTTGCTGGCTATTCTACTTTTCTTCGTGGATTGATACGGGTTTTAGAACAATTTTCGGTGAATTTGCGTTGATTTGACCCCGTTCGACGATCATGATCCTTTGCGCTTAAACAATATTGTTTTGATGTGACGTCATAGTGAAATAGGGCAATTTCAAGATATTTAAATCCCTAACGGATGACTCAGCGTACTTAGCTGGTCATGACTAAAGGAGAGAGGACAGGAGTGTGTTTTGGCACAATCGAAACTGGGCCCGGAAGTAATAAGTGTGGATAGTTTCCGATGAATAATCTTTATCCATTAGATAGCCGATGCTGTTATCCAATATTAGAGTTATTCATCGGATAGCGCTATCTACTCGCTTCGTACATCCGGGCCCTGGAGGCAACAATTTCCGCTTTACCTGATATCTGTGTTAACCTGTATTTCCAAAAGTATAAAATCAATCCATTTATAAATATCGTAAAGAAAATCTATTAACGGAATTTGGGGCTAAAGTTAAGGAAATCCAGTGCCTTTAGTGACATCAGTGCAATATTCCCATTTACAGGGATTATCATACAAAAAATATATATTAATAATGATAATTTTTTCATAGTCCCTAAATTAATAAAAAATAATTTTAAAATTAGAATTAAAATTGTAATTGAAATTAATTTTAATCTTAAAAAAAAAAAATTTCCGTGGTCTCTCAATGAAGAGTAATTTATAGGTTACTACATTTATGTTAGTACCTGGTTCGATTCTCACTTGTATCAATTGCCTGTGTCCCTAAAATCCTCAGGAAAAAAAACTATTTGGTTCGTAACTGGTAAGTTGACTTGTGCCGAAATGAAAGATTCACAGGTTTCCTTTCACTATCTCTTCAGTGAATTCTGAATCTAAGAGGAAGTTATACAATCGGTGAAGATTACTAATCAGTCGCCCCCGATGTCCTGTTTATTTGTCAGAACTCTTTACAGTGAATAAAACAAATGACTTATTTATTCCTAAAGGTGTTTATAAGCGGGCAGCGTAGGTCTTATTAGAAATTCATAACAAGTTCAGACATGCAAATAAGGAGTTTTGATACCACATTTGGAATTTTAAGCTATATATAGTCAAACATTTCGCTGAACTTCCTGACTTTCAAAGAAATTTACTATATCTTAGTTTCAATCAAACATTTGGGATATCAATTTAGTTAGTTTTGGTAATTTTTGAAGCAAGAGGATTTGATTTACTGAAGAGAAATTTGTCAAAAAAGAGTGAAATATTCCGAAGCATGGTACGAAAGAAATGTATTGCTGTTATACGTATCAACCCCCCTCATATATGAGTTTCTGGTCTTATCTGCTTGCAATAATTAATTAATTAATTAATTAAAAAATAAAAAGCCGTCTTTGGCATTGTTTTCGGATTTTTGTCCTCTTAAGTATTTTTTCATTTCCTCAAAGATTGCGACAAAAGATAATACTTCATGCCTTCACGATAGTAATTCTTTCTTCGGCATAGTTAATTATGCTAAAACTAACTGTGTTGACTAAACAATAAATTCACTTTAATTGAGGCTTAAAAACTTTTATATTTTGTTATCCTTGCATTAAATGTAAGAATGTAAAGGAGTTCCTTTAAGATAATGTAAAGACAAACTGATTATTTATTTCAGCAGTGACCAAGCTTATGACTATTTATGCTGATAAAATCACGATTTCTACACCAAACACAGAAGAAAAAATATGGACACTCAAGATAGATACCATAAAGATAAAACTTTGTGCGTTTGTCATTTATTAAAGCATTTATAAAGTACTGAGTAAAACCCAGTTCAAAAAACGATGTTAAAATCCTTAAAAACGTGAAGTTTAAATAAATAAAAAAAAGAAACTTTAAGAAAACATTTGATGGACGCCGCATCTATATACAAAGAAGGTTTTCATGCAAAATTTCGATTTTTGAAAAAAATGTTTTACAATTTTTGAACCGCTTACTTTCCTCAATCTTCATGCTCTTTCCAACTGCAATTATCTTCCTGTCTTGTCAGTTTTGAAATTGCATGATATAAGCTCATCCTATTAATTAAATGTTCGTGATATTTTAGGTTCTTGATGTTGAAATATTGATACGATTTGAAAGTGATATCGCGTTAGTGAAAGAAGAAAATGAATTTTTGATCCGCGTGGCATTTTTTGATTGGAGTCATGAGTGTATGAAAACTGAAGGAAACCACGAGAAAATCTTCGAGTCCTTCTCTGAGAAAACTGATAGTCTACAAATTACGAATTATCTCCTAATATTTCCTACATCTGTCTAGTATTGTAGGTACTCTGGTTCTTGGTCTTGCTCAGAATTTGAATAGTAAATGTTTTGCCATAAATAAAGGCGTATATCGACAAGGTTTCTTCATTCAAGTTGGACTGTAAATTCTAAAGAAAACACTACAGTTTGGAAATATTTTATGTGCCATGTACTCTGTCAGTGATTCTAATTTCCTGTACAAAACTTAGCTCCATCGCATAGCTCTTTAGCCGACTCAGTCCCTAGAACTACTTTTTTTTGTCATTGATAAAGAAATCATTAGCTAGTCATATAACTCATGCATTTTTTATAACAATATATAGAGTATTGGGTACTACAGAACAAAGCTATCCAGAAAACATATATATAGGAGAAACATAGCTTATTTTCTTAGAAATGAGAGTATACTAAATAGGGTTAAGTTCTTGTCGTCTGGAGTGACGATAATCAAGATAATTTATATTGAAGCGAATTTCATGACAATAGACACTATACCTATCCTGGGCTGTCTTGGATGCCTCTGTAGTAAGAGGCATTTGTAGTTTGTTGCTTCGATGATCGGCGCTGCGTGCGAAGACTTTCCCAGAGGTCTAAGATTGCAGTCTGTCAAATGAAACCAAATATAAAGAAAGCACTGAACAGACGGTCAAACGTCAGACTAAAAGTCAGACAAACGTAATACCCACTTTATGATACGAGAAGCTGTCAATGGAGAGAGGGAATGACGGAGTCTCGTATTACTTTTCTGGTCGAGAGAAGGGACTGGGGAGAGACTGGACTGACAACAAACATTCTCGTACCCAGATCCTACTCATTAGCCAAATCTTGATGGTCCATGATCCATGGTCCCCCTTTCTTCTTTGATGAAGTGCAAGAAGGTTTAGTTTAATTGAAACCTTTATACTTTATATTTAATACTTTAAACGTATATGTACAATCAAAAACTGGAAGTGGTACGGTTAAAAACAATTGAAACAAAACTTTAAAAATATCCCCAGGGTTTTTCCAGGGTTTTTCCAGGATTTTTCCAGGGTTTTTCCAGGGTTTTTCCAGGGTCTTTCCAGGGTCTCAGTCTGGCGCTCTTCGCGCCGAGCAAACGAGGAAGAAAACCACTTTATAAATGATTTGATTATCAGGATACTACAAGCAGTCGAAGAAATACTTTTTTATAGACTATAGACTGTTCATTTACAGCACGGGAAGGGGGGAGGTGTATAGTCTTTTTATGCCCCCTCCCCTCCCCCGATGCGATTGTGATCGTTTAGTTTTTTCAGTTATTTTCACCCTTCACAACAACCTAACACGTTAAATCCCAATTCAATTTCCGAGCTAATCGTGCTCTGAAACACAAATTCGTTCAGGGACGTCTAGATATATTTTTAAATCCTCATTTCTATTTAGCCAGTTATACGATATCACAAGTCTCAATTTACGACTTTGCATCCAATATCTTTTGGCACTGAATGTTTCCTGCCCTTAGGGCTATTATATACTTAATAACTATATGTGTCACTCAGACATATGGCATTGATAAGAAAGCTTATTTGCTAAGGAAGACAACCACCATTTTTCAGAATAAAAATTTAAATCTTGAATTTAGTTTAAGATTTAAAAAATGTTTTTTTGGGTAACTGCAAAAGAAAATGTTTTTGGGATCTTTGTAGTTGAGTTTAGAAGGAGAATCGATACTGACATTGTCAGCTTTGGAGTGAAAAGAACTACGAAGGGTAACGTGTCTGAGAAAGTTGATGGGAAAAAATATGGAAGATTGAAAACGGTGTAGTTGGCTCTTCCTAGCACTACGCAGAGGTTAGAAGTCAGTAAAAGGGAAATGATTAACGATGCAAGAGTTAGATAAAAAGCGAAAAGATCTCAGGTGAGAGTTTAGTAAGGTAAGGTAAACGTTGTAGTTGACTTGTTGAGCACGAAGGCTAAAAGTAGGGAAATAATTATGGTGCATGGAAAAGAGTGACGTAAACAAAAGAAGCTTAGCTCAGAGTTGTATCAGAGGTTTTAAAAAAAACAATGAAACAACACAGACTTAACTCTAATGTAGTTTCTTTCCCTATGTCTTTAAGACTATTATTATCGATAATTGTCTTTTTTATAATAGAACTGATATCAGCCCATTGGGTAGACTTGCGGGCTATTACTTTCAAAACTCATCTAACGATACGTCTCCCGTGACTAGAGCAGTAGTCTTCTTTCTCGCGATTTGCATTTATTAATTGTCCGTATGCTGAGTACTAACAAACATTTCAGCCCAGCTTTACCTGGATATGTATAGTATTTAGATAGTATCCGCACCCAGTAGTAGGTTGATCATGCCCTATAGATATGTATATACCTAATTCAAAATAATGCGTTATATCGCCAAAGGCTATAGGCGCGATTGGTCATTCCGACATGGAAATGATTTCGTTGAATACAAAGAACATTGAATCAATTAGTCTCAACAYTAAGGTCCATGTCCTTGACGAGAATAAGAATAAGAAACACATGTCATTCCAGCTATTCTTGGATCTTGAAAAAACCTATCTCCTATCCCTTTTCGCCTATTTCCTATTATCTATCGCCTTGACGGCGTTGCTAACGTTTTTTGAATTAAGTGTACACCTTAGTATAGTTCAAAGAAAAAACGTCGGTCGGAAATCTGAAATCTTAGATAAAGTATTCACAACGTAGTTTCCTTTTATATTGGAATATGAACCTTTACCTTTGTGTTTGGAATATGATTTTTCCTATATATCTTAGCCAGAAGACATGTGTCAGAAGACACAAAAATTCAGTGTGGTCTCAGATCCCCCAATTCAAACCTCGGATCGACAAAGCCGGTTTTTTTAAATAGGTGTGTAAGTATAATATATCAGCGATATTAATGTAGCTGACAATATAAATCATATAATCATTACCTTGACTATCAGATGGCACTTCCTTTAAATTGCAAAAAGCTATGTTTCTATTTGGAAGTCGCCTCTGTTTTCGTTATGCCGCTGTCTTCATAAAAAAGCAAACTGAGCACCAGGTGTTGACATAAATTCATTTCACAAAAACTGTGAATAATATTGACTTTGATAAGTCGATTGCATTAATTCTTAACGAAATTGAGCTGTGTACTAATTACACGAGGCTTGAACCTCGCTTAATTTGTGAACCAGTTCTAAAAGGAATTTTTTAGTTTATCAAATAATAATGTTGAATAATGCCGTGTTTTTCTTTATTTTCGGTTAAAGAAATCCATATTTTGACGTACAAAGCTCATATTTGAAAATGTAAAATAAAGAAGACCAATACTGCCAGTTAAACCTTAATTGGTATCTTCCGTTAAGAAAACATGTTCAAAATCCAATTTCCTGTTTATGAAATTTGTAATTGCTACTGAAGGATATGTTTGAACAGTAAATTTTATGAGTACGAAAACTTCAATAAGTGATTGGGAATCATTCTCTCGAGAATCATGATAATGTGGCCACCATGTTGGTCGATAAACAAGAGACTAAGGCTTATTAACCCGTTATTAAGTATCTTTTGGGATAGTGATCTAACATGGCGGCTATAAAACCAGCAATTCTAGTATACGAGGATCTCGAAGTCCTATATATAGCCTTAGTTTCTCACATCACCGAAAATAAGGCAGTACAAAACCAATTTCAGTACGAGTGTACGTATATTTTTGTCGATAAGCCTGTGCGTGACCGCACATGCGTGACTTCATGTGACGTCACAATAATGTGATCCTATAATTATCCTCAGTGACGAGAGACTCTATTGAGCTCGCGCGAACATGTGCGTGAGATCTGTGACCTTGGATAACAAACTATCGATTCAAGAAGTACAGAAATTCCCATGACTTTATGGGCATTTGTTGCGGCAAAACACATCCTGAAATCATCCAAATAGAAGGAAAAACAGAGGTATGTGAGCCGAAAGAGCGCGTAAAGAAACAGATAATTTTACCGATTAGTTTTGCTTAGCGTCCATAACTTTTCTAGCTACAAATGGGCAGATTACAGTACATTCTTCCTTGTATTCTACCCGTACCGTATTTACTTTAGCGTAACTGAGTATTTTGATTGGATGAACTGCATGAAAACAATGGGAAGTCATTTCAGTGTTACGGCATGTCGTACCGTGCGCGTGTTGTATGTCATTAGAGACCTTAGCATCGTGTTTACCGCTAACTGCTAACTTACGACCGCTAGGAATCAAACCCCGAAAAACGCCCGCAAACACGTAGAAACACTCGGCATCAACGAAATTTAACTCTTCAACGACAACTTCGTTATGACGCCTTGATAAATGTGCAAAGTTTGACGGAAAACGCCTGGCGTCGAACTGCAGTTTGAGGTTTGTGGGCTAGCAAAAACTTCTTGCTAAAGGTCTCATGGTTGTTTCTTGTAGCATTGAGTCTAGTTTTTCATTTTTGTAAAATACGTATTAAACTGAATTAAGAATTAATTACGGAATTCGAATAACATTTTTGGATGTTGGAACACTTAGTGCGCACTGCATAAATATATAGATTGTTGCTCGCGCTTATATAATCGAATGTATTCAAATCCTAATATAATGTATTGTGATCCTTGTTTGAAATCTGTGGTGTTTAGGTTGCAACATCCACGTCATCCTTGAAAGATAATTTTGAAGATGCGCAGATTGGTTAGTAAGCGGTAGATACACCATAAACAAAAGATATACCTTTTTATAACACATTTAGGGTTGATATCTGTGTGATAAAGCCGTGAATAAAAACCATATCAGTGAAGTGATACGATAGCTTCACGGTAAACTGGAAACTGCGAGTTTTGTCATTGTGGTATGGACCCTAAATGTGTAAAAAACAAATTATTACATGTGGACTCGCTTCTTCGCGAGATGATGTGCCCGAAAACTCGTGAATAAAAACGATATCAAGCTTTAAACCTGTGAACATCTTTATGTAATATTTTTAATGTTACTTCAACCCTAAATTGAACAATAATAGAGAGTTTAGATTTACGTCCACGGAAAACGGCAAACATCAGTTGTCCAGTGAAAAAGTATTTTACATTACTGAAAAGGACTTGTAAAAGAATCCAAGTAGTAGAAAAACAAAAGAATGTTTGTATGTAGTGAGAAAGTTCGTAAAAGGTAAAGTAAAATACAGGAAAACGATGAAAACGTGGTCACCTTTGCCGTTTGCGGGAAGAAATAAAGTCAATCTAAAACTCTCTAATTATTGTCGAACTTTCGACCTAAGCGGTTATCTTCAGGACTACTGAAATTAGTACTGATGTAAGTCATATGCGCCAACATGTACGTCATAGTAGCCCTTCCGAGGTTTAGGAAAAAAACTGGGTCATGTTGAAATTGCAGTGCATTGTGGGGCTGTTTTAGAGGACTTTCAAGTTGGCGTTTGTTTCGTCCCCTAAAACAGTCCCACAACGCACTGCAATGCCAACTCGACCCAGTTTATTTTCTTAACCTCGGAATGACTAATATATAATATCTACAAATCTTTTAATCTGGAAAACCATCAACCGTTTTGTTTGAAATGAACTTTTTTAATATCTTTTTTTTAAATGTTATATCTTTGAATTTTACACAAGTGTCTTGAGGGTCTATCAATTCAATGCAATGGCCAATTTCTACTTTTTCAGTTTCTTCAGAAAAGGAATCGGAAGACCCCATAGCTTCTCCTCTACCGTCAGTAGATACGAAAATAATTACAGATAAAGAAGACTTATTTGACACTGTGGCTGCTAGAACGCGTTATTCTACCTTTAAGCACGACAGGTTTGTAGTACAGAGTGTTATAAAGACATTAATTATGTGTCCACCTATCGTTCACAATCGCCTTAAACTTATCTTAAAATTTTTCTGTGTTTCCTAAAAATCTTTTATGTCTCCTTTTTCCCCAACGCTTCTCTGATAATCACACTCATGTTGCAATCAAACTGTACTCATTAACGTAAATAATACCACCTTGTGTATGCTCTAGACGTCAGTCACCACCAACATTCTTTCTGGAGACTACACTCCCAAACTGCACTCAGCTAATGTAAAATATAGAAAGCAGAAACATGAAAGGTACCGACTGATTAGGTTTGATTGATGGCAGCCAAATTTCAGCGTGCAGCTCGCAGACATACAGTTCGCATGTTTAGAAAATTGCAGTGATGTAAAATAATTTTTGTCCAATTCTTTGGCAGAGGCTATGATTCAATACGTCGATCCTCTGTATACGTGAACGGACGAAGAATATGCGAAGATGAAGACCTAATAAAAAACAATTTGACCTCAGGACAGAGACGAAAATCAGAGGAAGGCACAACCAGGACCAGTGAATACCTTCCAAAGAGGCTGAGCCTTCCAGAAGGCAAAGCACTTTTGGACTTCGAAAAGTGCTACAGTGCTGAGGACATTAAAAACGAAGCTGCCCATTTTGTAAAAGTAATACTGGAGAAAGAGAAGACAATATCTCTAGATATGAACCAACAACACGAAGAAGAAGAAGGAAGAATCTGTGATCTTCAAAATACTAGAAATGTCATTTGTAACACGAAGAAGGAAGATACAAGAAATGGAAATGATTTTTCATCGGATGTAAGCCAAAGTCACGAGAAAAATGATGAAAATACGAACGAGATTTCTGCAGCAAAGACAAGATTTAAAAGTCTTGAAGGAATAGACGAACGAGATGAAGAAATTGAAGTAACGTCCCATAGTGAAGACGCCGAGTCAGACAACGAATCTTTCTTCGACGTTAAAGGTGAAATGCTCTCACTTTTCAACAAATTGGAAGCAGATGCAAGCTTCGTATATACGATTAAAGACCAAGATCCCAAATCCACGACATCTGAGGATCAATCAAGTAATGGTGACCACAGTTTGGTACGTGAAATGGAAGCAATTTTCCAAGAGTTCAAGCAGCAAGCCGATGAAAACGAACTTAATTCCTCACATTCTAACAGCGACAAGGAGTCAGATGCTGAATCCTTCTTTGATATGTCAAAAGAAATTGAAAACATCATCAGCAAATGTGTCGTTAGTTCAGAAATTGAGAAGAGCTCAGAAGAGAACGTTTCAAGAGAGAATGCTCCTGAAAACAGTCCAGATTCCGGTTCATTCTTTCACATTCAAGGTGAATTGGAATCTCGCTTGCAGAATTTAGTGCTTCATTTGGATGGCTCTGGTTCTGATGAGGAAAGTCGAGGTAAAGTCGAAGAAAGGCTTTCATCTGGTGAGGGGTCGTACTTCAACATGATGGATGAGATTGATTTGCGTTTGGACCTTGTGAAGCATGGAAATGTTATCTGAAGCTAAGATGTTTTGATCAGCGAAAAGTGTCAACGCGTCTTGTACAATAAAGAGAAGATTATTCGTTAGACTTCGGACTTCATCGTGATTTCTTTCTAAAACATTTTTTATCTACCCGTCCATCCATCCATTAAACTCATCAACCAACAATGTATCCATCCACCCTCCCACCATAGCACTCATCCATCCATCCATTCATTTATCCATATATACTTCTGTCCACCCACCCATGCACCATCCATGCATCCATGCATCCATCCATCCATGCATCCATCCATGCATCCATCCATCCATCCATCCATCCATCCATCCATCCATCCATCCATCCATCCATCCATCCATCCATCCATCCATCCATCCATCCATTTTTTATTTACTTATTTACATCATTTCCTGGCTTAAACCTTTTAGCTTAACTATACTGACAGGCTGTTAAGGAAGCGTTCAAACACTTTGATCTTCAGTAGTTTCTTTCCCTGATTCCTTCTGATGTCGCTTCTCGTACAATATTTTAAGTTCTTTATCAATTTCAGCTTTTATATCCTCCAACGTCAGGTTCTCAAGGAGGCCTTTTAGTTTCTCACTCACTTTGTTTGTCATAGCCTCCATATCACTCTTCTTAAGCCATCCTATCTGTTCTTGAAAAGGTGCTTGGGCTTCGTCGACATGATGCCAAGCCAGTTCCTTGTAAACTTTCTTCGTGTACTCCATACCAATCGTGTTTGGAATCATTAGTGACATGTCTCGTCTTTCTCTTATTTCAGCGAAGAATGTCTGTGCAATTTTGGTAAAATCGTCGTCTAGAGTCAAGTCGCTAACCTTTTCTTTCATGAAAGTCAGAAGTTCTTGATTAGTTTTCTCTTCAGTTGTTTTGTGAGCGGTTTTGAGGTGCAACATCTTACACAGACCTCTGGCAAGGAGGGATTGATAGGCGTAAAGAGGTATATACATCATCTTCTTAATATACTCATCTTCACCTTCATTTTGTAGACTTTTAAATAGACTTCCAATCACGTCTTTGCTCTTTTCCATAAAAACTGCAAGCAACGAATAAATAAGCCCTTTCACATCTTCTTCTGTCAGGGATTTTTCTTGTACTTTGACCAGCAATGGGTCCAAATCCTGCAGATTGTTGAGGTAGGTTTGAGACTGGTATGTCAGAGAAAAACATCTTTTTAGCATGCTGACAATTTTAGGCAAGATGTTTATTCTTACATCATGAATCGTAGCCGCCTCTTCGACCAGTTTGGCAGGATCCTCGTTTTGCAGAAGGTTGCTTTGTGGGATGATGTAATGAGGAAGGTGTCCTTCTTCCAAGCTCTTCTGAAGCCGATCC